TAGTCAACATACATGTCTAAAGTTGTGTTTCTTTTATAGCTTGGACATCAATAACCAGTCATAATACTTACATATCGCAACGCAAAAATATTTTTTCTTAACAATGAAGATGTCGAGTTTTGTGCCAAATAAACAGCATTTGTGGGAAGCTTTGCTTTTCTGCTTTAACTTGAAAAAAAATGCAGCTGAAGCACGTCGTTTGCTTGAGGAGGCCTACGGCGAACATGCACCATCGAAAACTACCTGTGAAGATTGGTTTAAATACTTCAGAAGTGGCGATTTCGACACTAAGAACAAGGAGCGCTCCGGAAGACCAAAAACAATTGAGGACGCCGATCTACAAGCGTTATTGGATAAAGATGATACGCAAACACAAGATCAACTTGCGGAGGCATTAAACATGACTCGCCAAGGTATTTCCAAACGTTTATATGCCATGGGAAGAATTCAAAAGGAAGGAAAATGGATGCCGCATGAGTTGACTGAGAGACAGATGGAAAATCGAAGAGCTACTTCCGAAATTTTTACTTTTGCGGCATGAAAGAAAGATGCAGTTTCCTGCATCGAATTGTTACTGGCGATGAGAAGTGAATATATTTCGAGAATCCCAAACGCAAAAAATCGTGCCTTTCACCTGGCGAAGCATCAACATCGATGGCACGGCCAAATCGCTTAGGAAAGAAGACAATGCTCTACGTTTGGTGGGATCAGAAAAGAATCGTGTACTATGAGCTGCTGAAACCGGGCGAAACTGTCAATAGACATCGCTAACGACAACAACTGATCAATTTGAACCATGCATTGCTCGAAAAACGGCCAGAATGGGACACGAGACACGAGCGAGTGATATTGCAGCACAACAACGCTCCGTGCCATCGCACTTCCATCGTCCAGGACACTATCAAAACGCTGAAATGGGATCTGCTACCACACCCTCCGTATTCACCAGACCTGGCCCCTTCCGATTATCACTTGTTCCGGTCGATGGCGCATGGCTTGGCTGGGCTACACTTGACCAATTTCGAAGAAGTGCAAAATTGGATGAATGGTTTCGGTTCAAAGACGCGTCGTTTTATCGTCGCGGTATTCATGTATTGCCAGAGAGATGGCAAAAATGTATAACTAGCAAGGGACGATACTTTGAATAAACCATTTTTTGTATTTCTCTTGAAATTTTCCATTTTTCATTGATCAAAAAAACCGGAAACTTAGTTGCGCATCTAGTATATCCTCTTATATACATGCAATTTTCATGTGGCGACATATGATTGATTATATTTATAATTATAATTAGGTTACAAGACCAGATATTACATTTTTTGTTGTTAAGGTCACGTTACAATCAGATGACAGCTTAGAAGCAATGAGGTACGTAATCTATGTAATCGCACAAATGGTTCACTTGTTCATCTTTTGTTGGGAAGGCCAAAGACTGATAGACCACAGTCTGCTAATACATGACAAGATGTAAGAGAAACGTAAAATTTCGAAATAATTTCTCTATAAACAAACGGTAAAATATTTGTTAGCTAAAAACAGTATTCATAAAGTTTTAACTTTTCAGATACAGCTGTAGCTGGTATAAAAAACCTGCGAAATCGCAAAGATTGATCATGCACGTGTTAAAAAGGAGCTTGCAACCCAAATTTTTAAGTGGTGGCAGAATGTTTATTTTCTCTTTGCAGGGCTTCACCACGGTAAGGAAACAATTGTAATGTAATTTATTAAAATTTAATTCATTAATTTTATATTATATTTAATTTTATATTAGAATTTTATATTAGGTTTTTATTAGAATGTATATATTTTATATTGCGTCGCACTGTTTTACCCTTTAAGAATTCTAAGGTTGTTGCTTTGAAGGTAGTGCAAACATCGATGTCGTACTTTACTGTGCTTTCGTCCGTCTAATAACCAACTAATCTTTAAATAATGCTCCCGAGGACTTGTAATGATGTAAGCAACGTTATATGTTTTTTTATTAGAGACCAACTGATAGACTATAGTCTGCATATGTGTCACAAGATATAAGACAACTGCAAATGTTCCAAAATAATTTCTCAATAAACAAGTTCAAACGATGAAGCATTTTTTGCGGAAACTTTGTCAATGATGTTATGTCCTAATTTTGCATTGATACAGCTGCACCTAGTATAAGAGACTCGTGAAGTCGCAATAAATGGTCCTGCATTAAAAAGATTCCAATATCTTTACACTCTAATATTCTCTAGTTTATGAAACAGAATAAAATATTATTTTTTATATGCATAATATATATATACAGGGTTGGCAAAAAGTCCGGAAACGGTTGGCAAAAAGTTCGGAAACGGTCAGATATCTCGAAAAGGATCAACTGTAGCGAAAAATATGCAAGTAGCAAAGTTGTAGGGCTTAATAAAATGTACTTAATGATAGCTAAAAATTTGACTTTGGGTGGAGGACGAAAGTCATACGAAGGTCAAATTGAATTTTTTAAATTGGATCCCCACTTTTTATTACATATTTTTGTAGCTTATTTCAAGGGCTTTCCAAAAATCTATAATAAAGTATTTTTTTATTAGGCATATTTAGAATTATGAGGCTTGAAAGGATTTTGGTCTTTAACTGTTTCTGTTTCGTAAAAACATATCGCTGTCTTCTGAACGTTGGATTTAGAAATATGATTGCGATCAGGATATGTAGCATTGAATAGATCAGCTACTTCTTGATATGATCTAATGC